TAATTCGTCATTTCACTCTGAACGTCTTGATTTCAGCCAGGCTAGTTTCTCGTCTCTACCTTCTGTTGATATAGTCGGTGTCAAAATAATTCATCATAACATTGTCTATTATTTAATTTTGATTTATATACCACATACTTTGAATGCCAGTAATCTTTCTATTTTATTGGATGGTCTATGTGAACTTCAGTACTTACACAACGCTAACACTTTAATTGTTGGAGATTTTAATTTGCCGACTTATGAATGTGGTGCTTCAGACAGTAGTTGCCCTTCCGTAAAAACGTTGTTAGACTTTCTTCATTTCTTATCTCTGTCTCAGTATAACAACGTACGTAATAATTTAAACAGAATGCTCGACCTCGTAATATGTAATACACATCTCACTATCTCTCGTGTAACAGATGCTCTAGTGCCCGAGGACGCATACCATCCTGCTCTCACTTGGATAATTAGTTTTGAGAGGGTCAAAGCGTCTGCGATGTTAGTTCCTGGTGTTGAAGAACGTTTTAATTTTCGCAAGGCAAATTTTTCTGGCCTATATAATGCACTTTCACAAATTAACTGGGAATTTTTGTTTCAGCACAACGATATTAATTCTGCCTGCACAGCCTTCTATGATTGTGTATATTCTATCATCGCAAGCTTTGTCCCCAAAAGCACTTCTACTCGTTCATCGTACCCTGTGTGGTTTTCTCCGAAAATTATTAGGTTAATCAAAAGAAAGAGAACTGTTTGGAAGAAAGCGAAAAAATCAGGTAATCAATTTTTTCGTGATGAATTTGCACGCCTAAGGAGAGTCGTGAAGCAGGAGATAGAATTTTCCTATAGGCAGTTTGTATCTTCCGCTGAGGCAAATATTACGTCTGATCCAAAACAGTTTTGGAAATTCGTCAATTTAAAAAAGAAAAGTTTGGGTATTCCGTCTAACATGACATTCCATGATGAATTGATTACGAATGGTGATGATATAGTTAATTCTTTTGCTAAATACTTTAGTTCTGTATTTTTATTGTCAAGCAATAATGACTTTCCCGACATTACACTGCCTAACTCTTTTCATAATTTTAAAGTCAGTACTATCTCTGAGAATTTAGTGTTCGATAAATTAAAGAATTTAAAACCCAAGTTTACAAACGGACCCGATTCTATTCCAGCATTTGTTATAAAAGACTGTGCCGCCGTATTTACTAAACCTTTAACATTTCTTTTTAATTTAGTCCTTGTTTCTTCTAAGTTCCCCGATCGATGGAAGATATCCAAAATTGTTCCGTTATTCAAAGGCGGTAATCGCGCACTTATCGAAAACTATCGACCAATCTCCATTCTGAATAACTTTGCCAAAGTTTTTGAGTTGACCTTAGTTGAAGGTTTAAGACATCAATGTAAAAATCTTATAGTGGGAAATCAGCATGGTTTTGTTCAAGGACGGTCCACAGTTACCAACTTGTTGACTATTACGCAACATCTATCCAATAACTTAGACAATCGTATCCAGACTGATGTTATATATGCTGATTTCTCTAAAGCATTCGACCGACTTGATCATACCATTTTAATTCGAAAACTCGCTGAGTTTGGCTTTTCAGTAGAACTATGTACATTTTTTTGGAGCTACTTACGTGGCAGATCATCTTTTGTTGAATCTTGTAATTTTTGTTCGACTAATTTTGAAATTACCTCAGGCGTACCACAGGGTTCTGTCGTTGGACCCTTTCTGTTCAATATTTTTATTAACGACATAGTAAAGGACATCAAATCTTCGGCTCTTCTATACGCTGATGACCTGAAGTTGTATCGCCGGATCACTTGTCATCAAGATTGCTTAGAACTTCAATCTGATCTTAATAAAATTTTCAATTGGTGTAAAAGTAACTGTCTCTCTTTAAATAATAAAAAATGTTACATCTTGTCTTTTAGCTTAGCAAAACAAATTATAGAATATGATTATAATGTCAACAATGTTTCTTTATTGCGCACATCACATGTTAAGGATTTGGGTGTTGTATTTGACGTAAAATTATCTTTCTCAGAGCATATTAATACCCTAACATCAGATGCTGTTAAACTTCTAGGTTTCATTATAAGAAACAGTAGTAGTATTAACAATGAAGCTATAATAAAGCTACTTTATTATTCATTAGTCAGAAGCAAATTAGAATATGCTGCTATTGTATGGTATCCGCATTATACTAAGTACATCCATGATATAGAAAATGTTCAGCGTCGATTTTTAAAATATTTACATTTCAAGATCAACAGAACGTACCCACCAAGAGGCACCACTCAAGAACATCTGCTCCAGACATTCTCAATCCCCAGCATTGATCACCGTGTAAGGATACAATATTTGTGCTTCTTTGTCAAGACTATCAATTATGAAATCAATTGTTCCCATCTGCTGAGCCTGTTCAACTTTAATTGTCCAAAATTCAGGATTAGGTCTAATAATATCCTTTATCTACCTACACCTAGAACCAATATCTTGAAGTATTCCCCTATCCACAATATTTGTCGAATGGTAAATATTGTGCACCCTAAAATTGATGTTTTTTGTTGTAAATTATCCGATATTAAAAAATTAAATTTCGGTTAGTTATGCTAGTTCCTGAATAGGCTTGTCAATAGGACTGAATTATTATTATTATTCCTATTTATTTTATTTTTTTTTCCTTTCTTTTTTCTGTCTTATTTTATTAATTTTTAGTTATACGTAGTTATACATATGAGTTATCTAATTGTACTTCTTTTATATCTAAGTTTACGCTTAAATATTCTTATTTAAGTAATTTAAGTAATTTGTATTCATTAATTGGGGGTAACCCTGTTGGATGCAATAAACCATTTATTTATTTTATTTAAAAATCGACAAAAATACAGTTTCTAGCTAAAATTTGATGGTTTCGTTGCACTTTCCGAGCCCGTACGGTATCTGATTGGCTTAAAAGTACAAGAAAACACTTCAAAAGTGACGTTTCTGAAGAATTTTAACAGTTTTCTTGTATCTACGAACGCCAGAATGCATAAAATTGACCTAAACGTCTCCTTTTCCTATTCTGAGTCGATTCTGCATGCTTTAAGTGTGTTTGGTGGCTCAGAACCATCAAAAAACGTTGAAATATAGTTCAAATTCAATAAAAATCGACAAAAATACAGTTTCTAGCTAAAATTTGATGGTTTCGTTGCACTTTCCGAGCCCGTAGGGTATCTGATTGGCTTAAAAGTACAAGAAAACACTTCAAAAGTGACGTTTCTGAAGAATTTTAACAGTTTTCTTGTATCTACGAACGCCAGAATGCATAAAATTGACCTAAACGTCTCCTTTTCCTATTCTGAGTCGATTCTGCATGCTTTAAGTGTGTTTGGTGGCTCAGAACCATCAAAAAACGTTGAAATATAGTTCAAATTCAATAAAAATCGACAAAAATACAGTTTTTAGCTAAAATTTGATGGTTTCGTTGCACTTTCCGAGCCCGTACGGTATCTGATTGGCTTAAAAGTACAAGAAAACACTTCAAAAGTGACGTTTCTGAAGAATTTTAACAGTTTTCTTGTATCTACGAACGCCAGAATGCATAAAATTGACCTAAACGTCTCCTTTTCCTATTCTGAGTCGATTCTGCATGCTTTAAGTGTGTTTGGTGGCTCAGAACCATCAAAAAACGTTGAAATATAGTTCAAATTCAATAAAAATCGACAAAAATACAGTTTCTAGCTAAAATTTGATGGTTTCGTTGCACTTTCCGAGCCCGTAGGGTATCTGATTGGCTTAAAAGTACAAGAAAACACTTCAAAAGTGACGTTTCTGAAGAATTTTAACAGTTTTCTTGTATCTACGAACGCCAGAATGCATAAAATTGACCTAAACGTCTCCTTTTCCTATTCTGAGTCGATTCTGCATGCTTTAAGTGTGTTTGGTGGCTCAGAACCATCAAAAAACGTTGAAATATAGTTCAAATTCAATAAAAATCGACAAAAATACAGTTTCTAGCTAAAATTTGATGGTTTCGTTGCACTTTCCGAGCCCGTTGGGCATCTGATTGGCTTAAAAGTACAAGAAAACACTTCAAAAGTGACGTTTCTGAAGAATTTTAACAGTTTTCTTGTATCTACGAACGCCAGAATGCATAAAATTGACCTAAACGTCTCCTTTTCCTATTCTGAGTCGATTCTGCATGCTTTAAGTGTGTTTGGTGGCTCAGAACCATCAAAAAACTTTGAAATATAGTTCAAATTCAATAAAAATCGACAAAAATACAGTTTCTAGCTAAAATTTGATGGTTTCGTTGCACTTTCCGAGCCCGTAGGGTATCTGATTGGCTTAAAAGTACAAGAAAACACTTCAAAAGTGACGTTTCTGAAGAATTTTAACAGTTTTCTTGTATCTACGAACGCCAGAATGCATAAAATTGACCTAAACGTCTACTTTTCCTATTCTGAGTCGATTCTGCATGCTTTAAGTGTGTTTGGTGGCTCAGAACCATCAAAAAACGTTGAAATATAGTTCAAATTCCATAAAAATCGACAAAAATACAGTTTCTAGCTAAAATTTGATGGTTTCGTTGCACTTTCCGAGCGCGTAGGGTATCTGATTGGCTTAAAAGTACAAGAAAACACTTCAAAAGTGACGTTTCTGAAGAATTTTAAGTTTTCTTGTATCTACGAACGCCAGAATGCATAAAATTGACCTAAACGTCTCCTTTTCCTATTCTGAGTCGATTCTGCATGCTTTAAGTGTGTTTGAACCATCAAAAAACGTTGAAATATAGTTCAAATTCAATAAAAATCGACAAAAATACAGTTTCTAGCTAAAATTTGATGGTTTCGTTGCACTTTCCGAGCCCGTAGGGTATCTGATTGGCTTAAAAGTACAAGAAAACATTTCAAAAGTGACGTTTCTGAAGAATTTTAACAGTTTTCTTGTATCTACGAACGCCAGAATGCATAAAATTGACCTAAACATCTCCTTTTCCTATTCTGAGTCGATTCTGCATGCTTTAAGTGTGTTTGGTGGCTCAGAACCATCAAAAAACGTTGAAATATAGTTCAAATTCAATAAAAATCGACAAAAATACAGTTTCTAGCTAAAATTTGATGGTTTCGTTGCACTTTCCGAGCCCGTTGGGTATCTGATTGGCTTAAAAGTACAAGAAAACACTTCAAAAGTGACGTTTCTGAAGAATTTTAACAGTTTTCTTGTATCGACGAACGCCAGAATGCATAAAATTGATCTAATCGTCTCCTTTTCCTATTCTGAGTCGATTCTGCATGCTTTAAGTGTGTTTGGTGGCTCAGAACCATCAAAAAACGTTGAAATATAATTCAAATTCAATAAAAATCGACAAAAATACAGTTTCTAGCTAAAATTTGATGGTTTCGTTGCACTTTCCGAGCCCGTAGGGTATCTGATTGGCTTAAAAGTACAAGAAAACATTTCAAAAGTGACGTTTCTGAAGAATTTTAACAGTTTTCTTGTATCTACGAACGCCAGAATGCATAAAATTGACCTAAACATCTCCTTTTCCTATTCTGAGTCGATTCTGCATGCTTTAAGTGTGTTTGGTGGCTCAGAACCATCAAAAAACGTTGAAATATAGTTCAAATTCAATAAAAATCGACAAAAATACAGTTTCTAGCTAAAATTTGATGGTTTCGTTGCACTTTCCGAGCCCGTAGGGTATCTGATTGGCTTAAAAGTACAAGAAAACACTTCAAAAGTGACGTTTCTGAAGAATTTTAACAGTTTTCTTGTATCTACGAACGCCAGAATGCATAAAATTGACCTAAACGTCTCCTTTTCCTATTCTGAGTCGATTCTGCATGCTTTAAGTGTGTTTGGTGGCTCAGAACCATCAAAAAACGTTGAAATATAGTTCAAATTCAATAAAAATCGACAAAAATACAGTTTCTAGCTAAAATTTGATGGTTTCGTTGCACTTTCCGAGCCCGTAGGGTATCTGATTGGCTTAAAAGTACAAGAAAACACTTCAAAAGTGACGTTTCTGAAGAATTTTAACAGTTTTCTTGTATCTACGAACGCCAGAATGCATAAAATTGACCTAAACGTCTCCTTTTCCTATTCTGAGACGATTCTGCATGCTTTAAGTGTGTTTGGTGGCTCAGAACCATCAAAAAACGTTGAAATATAGTTCAAATTCAATAAAAATCGACAAAAATACAGTTTCTAGCTAAAATTTGATGGTTTCGTTGCACTTTCCGAGCCCGTAGGGTATCTGATTGGCTTAAAAGTACAAGAAAACACTTCAAAAGTGACGTTTCTGACGAATTTTAACAGTTTTCTTGTATCTACGAACGCCAGAATGCATAAAATTGACCTAAACGCTCCTTTTCCTATTCTGAGTCGATTCTGCATGCTTTAAGTGTGTTTGGTGGCTCAGAACCATCAAAAAACGTTGAAATATAGTTCAAATTCAATAAAAATCGACAAAAATACAGTTTCTAGCTAAAATTTTATGGTTTCGTTGCACTTTCCGAGCCCGTAGGGTATCTGATTGGCTTAAAAGTACAAGAAAACACTTCAAAAGTGACGTTTCTGAAGAATTTTAACAGTTTTCTTGTATCTACGAACGCCAGAATGCATAAAATTGACCTAAACGTCTGCTTTTCCTATTCTGAGTCGATTCTGCATGCTTTAAGTGTGTTTGGTGGCTCAGAACCATCAAAAAACGTTGAAATATAGTTCAAATTCAATAAAAATCGACAAAAATACAGTTTCTAGCTAAAATTTGATGGTTTCGTTGCACTTTCCGAGCCCGTAGGGTATCTGATTGGCTTAAAAGTACAAGAAAACACTTCAAAAGTGACGTTTCTGAAGAATTTTAACAGTTTTCTTGTATCTACGAACGCCAGAATGCATAAAATTGACCTAAACGTCTCCTTTTCCTATTCTGAGTCGATTCTGCATGCTTTAAGTGTGTTTGGTGGCTCAGAACCATCAAAAAACGTTGAAATATACATAGTTCAAATTCAATAAAAATCGACAAAAATACAGTTTCTAGCTAAAATTTGATGGTTTCGTTGCACTTTCCGAGCCCGTAGGGTATCTGATTGGCTTAAAAGTACAAGAAAACACTTCAAAAGTGACGTTTCTGAAGAATTTTAACAGTTTTCTTGTAACTACGAACGCCAGAATGCATAAAATTGACCTAAACGTCTCCTTTTCCTATTCTGAGTCGATTCTGCATGCTTTAAGTGTGTTTGGTGGCTCAGAACCATCAAAAAACGTTGAAATATAGTTCAAATTCAATAAAAATCGACAAAAATACAGTTTCTAGCTAAAATTTGATGGTTTCGTTGCACTTTCCGAGCCCGTAGGGTATCTGATTGGCTTAAAAGTACAAGAAAACACTTCAAAAGTGACGTTTCTGAAGAATTTTAACAGTTTTCTTGTATCTACGAACGCCAGAATGCATAAAATTGACCTAAACGTCTCCTTTTCCTATTCTGAGACGATTCTGCATGCTTTAAGTGTGTTTGGTGGCTCAGAACCATCAAAAAACG